TGCAGACAGGCTGAAGGACAAAAACTAGGTACATGCCTCATTAATACGAAATTAGTTCATGCTGTTTCAAATTATTGGTAAATAATAAACAGTATATATGTTGAATGTACTGTCTTCGCTCGCTTTGAAACCTGGATGGTGGGTTCGAATCTCACTCAGGGCATGGATGTATAGTTTGTGTGTGTGCGTTTTTCTGTGTTTGTTTACAGGTAGAGGTCTTGCGACGAGCTGATCACCCGCCCAAGGAGTCCTACCGCATGTGTAAGATCTAGAAAAACCGAAGTGAACGGAGAAGTTCATGGAGGTAGGCCTAGGCCCACTGGGGCTGTAGTGCCAAGGGGGAAAATATATGTATATATGTTGAAATCTTTCTCATTTCGCAGTCTGACAAAACTTCTGTGTTCGGGTTAGGTTCTGTAACAACCATAAATCTACTTGTATAAATATTTCGCTTCTTATATCAATAGCTATTTGGTAACTCTCATAAGCCGAAGTCAAAATCGAAGTCAGAGTTACTTTTCGTACCGCCAATCGGTTCGTCAAGCCCCTTGAGACTCACGACCAGCATTTTTTTAATTGAACTTTTGCGATCATAGACCTTATATAACATCCTCTCTGACCAGAGGATACGTCTGCCGTTTACAGTTGCTACTGGCCCTCGCCAGCGCAGTAATTCTCGGGTCCGAGTCCCGTGTGATTAATGTCCACGTTTGACTGTCTCAGATTCCAGGCTTCCCAAACCTGGAGGGCCAGGTCCCGGCATTTATGTCCCCCGGGATCAGGGTGGCTCAGTTACACCCCCAGGCACTGGGTTCCCTTTTCGTAGCCCGCTGTGACTAGCAGGGCTACGGTGGAGGTATTCGAACCCACCCCCTCACAGGCTTATAAGCCTAGAATAAATCAGTTATTTAACCATTCAGTTCCTACCTCACAGAAAACACACCGAATGCGTTGGCTTAGCGATAACGCTCTGCATTTGTTCTCGGAAGATGACCAGTTCGACTCTTGGCCTGTGTACCGGTTATCCTGACTAAGTATTTTCGTGGCTTTACCTAGTCCCTCCTAGCAAATCTCTGGATAATAATAATTTGATTAGGCCACGAATATTTCCTTAAAACCCTTTTTCTAACTCATTATTAATTTATCATCACTGTGCTTTAAAGCCTTACGCTAACTACTTCGACTGCTCCCGATGGTAAATAAATTCAATTTTTTTTCCCCTTGACACTACAGCCCCAGTGGGCCTAGGCCTACCTCCATGAACTCCGTTCACTTCGGTTTTTCTAGATCTTACACATACGGTAGGACTCCTTGGGCGAGTGATCAGCTCGTCGCAAGGCCTCTACCTGTAGACAAACACAGAAAAACGCACACAAACATCCATGCCCTGAGTGGGATTCAAACTCACGATCCCGGCTTCCGAGCGAGCGAAGACAGTGCATGCCTTAGACCGCTCGGCTACCGTGACCGGCAAATAAATTCAGTAATCTTGAATAAATAGGAAGAATTCATGCGTTACAATTAAAATGTTTTGTGGCTGTTTGGGAACGGACGAATGTGGGGTTGCATGCTTTTCGATGGCTCAACTAATTCACTTTCAGATCTCTCTTCTTTCGTGTAAGGTCATTATAAAGTTTATGAAATCTACAACAAAATTTTATATGTTGAAGCTTAACAGATATTTATTAAGTGATACATTATCATTTAATGTTTCCACCCACTGAAAGAGATAAACAGTCTGTTTGTCGCTAAGAAATCGCAAGCTAATTTCCTTAAATGTCATTTCATAAACTCGTTATTCATAACTTTCTGTTACCAAACCCCTAAGATTGAGATTTATAGGCCTGTTGGCTGGAGATATGCATTTAACGTAAAATATTGCCTAGCTAGAATTTCATTATCTTGCTCAGAAAGTTACCGTAACGACCCCTCAACTCCGCTGAAATATCGCAAGAATTAGTGAGGACTCGTTCTAACCCTGTACGAATTAAGAACGAGGTATCTCGTTTACAAACATGTGTTCTGCTTGTAATGCTTGACACTGGCAATGAAACGAAATGTCTTCGAGTTATTCCACCTGTTCGTGAGATACCGTACTAGTTTCTGTCCTATCTTTCCGTAAAGTAGCCTAAAAGTTTGCCAGACACCGAGCTTTAACCTGAGGTTTAATAAACATTTTAATTATAATCATTTTGCATGTCCCATGTTAAAATCTCAGCTCGGAAACTGGATGTTCTCGCATTATTTTCGTGGTTTTCCTTAATCCCTCCAAAAATATACAAGGATTATACTTCAAAATGGGCCACGGCCTCTTCATTCAAAATCCTGTCAAATTAATTATTTAGTAATCATCTTATCAACAGACGCTTTATAATATTTGTTCTTGAAAAAATTGTCAATACAGTATTCATATAAATAAAATTAAAATTATGAATCTTCTTTCTATTTCAGAAATTCCTACTGATAAGATGTCGGTGTGGGCTACCTAAGCAGAAGGTGGTGAGTACGCGAACAGATTCATTGCATTGTGTTGCTTCGGTCGCGGACTCTCTCTCATAAAAGTATGTCATGCCACAGTCTCTTCATTTCAGACTTCGTGAAACATCGACTCCCTAAAATAATGTACAATTTTCCATGGTCTCCTGTGATGTGCGGTGACAGCAGGAACCTAAATAGCTTTACAGCCTCTCTACACCTGCAGTAAGCTATAAAATGTTCCTGTACAGTCACGAAAAGTGCAGTTCTGCACACTGTTACAGGTCCCTATCTGTCTGTACGGCGACAGCAGGAACCTAAATAGCTTTACAGCCTCTCTACACCTGCAGTAAGCTATAAAATGTTCCTGTACAGTCACGAAAAGTGCAGTTCTGCACACTGTTACAGGTCCCTATCTGTCTGTACGGCGACAGCAGGAACCTAAATAGCTTTACAGCCTCTCTACACCTGCAGTAAGCTATAAAATGTTCCTGTACAGTCACGAAAAGTGCAGTTCTGCACACTGTTACAGGTCCCTATCTGTCTGTACGGCGACAGCAGGAACCTAAATAGCTTTACAGCCTCTCTACACCTGCAGTAAGCTATAAAATGTTCCTGTACAGTCACGAAAAGTGCAGTTCTGCACACTGTTACAGGTCCCTATCTGTCTGTACGGCGACAGCAGGAACCTAAATAGCTTTACAGCCTCTCTACACCTGCAGTAAGCTATAAAATGTTCCTGTACAGTCACGAAAAGTGCAGTTCTGCACACTGTTACAGGTCCCTATCTGTCTGTACGGCGACAGCAGGAACCTAAATAGCTTTACAGTCTCTCTACACCTGCAGTAAGATATAAAATGTTCCTGTAAAGTCACGAAAAGTGCAGTTCTGCACATTGTTGCAGGTCCCTACCAGGCTGTACGGTGAGAGCAGGAACCTAAATAGCTTTACAGCCTCTCTGCACCTGCAGTAAGCTATAAAATGTTTCTATGTACTTATGAAAATATTCGCCGGCTGCAGTTACATTTTCCGAAGGCGGCTGTAATTATGAAATTTTACTGACCTTCCAAAACTGTGAGTGGTTTTTTGAGAACTCGGCGAACCGCCATAAACAGACCCCCCCCCAGGTGATAGCAGCCCACAATTTGAAGAGCCGTGAGTTAGAATGTAATTTTCATATCTTAGGAAGTGCAAAGAAAATAAACGCCAAACGTCGATCTACATTTGATGGGATTCATGGAATTTGGAGCACCTCTTTCACACATGAGTAACTGAATATTATTTTCCATGGATTGCAACGTTGAACACCCGATCGGTGTCAGGAAATATTTCAGGTGGTTTTAAAGCCGCATTGTACTAATGTTACGTTGGACATCGAAGACTTTCTGATCTCTGATTGATATAGATGACGATTCGCAAGTTGGATGCCCTTCAGTCATCAGGTGTGAGCGATCACAGGGTCCAGTAGAGTCCATTAGAAGGTCCTAGTCTCGATCACAGGACTTGTGGTTGATATCACAGCCCATTTTATAGATATACTGTCACATGTATTAGTGACTAACAACGCGGGTTCTGGAAAGAATGAACGGGTTTATTTATACACAGCACCAGTAATTAAATGTAAAATTATTACATGAAAATAAATTAAAAATATCACTGTAGAGTCTTTATTTAAAAACTATAAAAAGGCAGTACATTCATTCTTCAATAGAAAGGCTCAAAAGTTGTACTTATTTTGGGACGTAATAATGCAGGTTTGAAGAAATTGCCCAGTTTTGTATGAACAGACATGACTCATCTGCCTTCCTAAATGTCATGGTGTCTTTTAAAAGTATGTACTCAACTGTAAACAGCATCATTCATTTTTCGTATTTCCATCCGGTTTATCCGACACGCGGATTATATGTAACCGGATTAACGAGGGTGTACTGTACTACAATCGTAATCCTCGCGATTCGTTTTGTCGTACTGTTACATGATTTCGTCGGTAGATGTCGCGTTAGTTTAATATTTTCTTCCTAGATGTCGCCGTTCTCCACATGTCACATTCCATAGTAGTTAGTGCGTACATGGTCATGGCTCTGAAATATTCTCGTTATAAATCAAAATAAAAGAAACAGCAGCACGTCTGAATCATTTACAAAACACAATTTACATATTGTCGACATATAGCCTTCTCAGTGTGTTCAGTACTTATCCTTCTAAGATATTCCATTATAGAATGTTACATGACCTTGAATTCATTGAGTAAAGAATGTTTTCGTAGAGCGAATAAATGACCTTGTACGAACAGTCACTGGAAATTCACGGGATGGGACGCAGATTCCTACTTTTTTTTTTTCAGAAACGGGGGATACGAGTTCGCCTCTCACACAAAGAAGGAAAGGAAGAGAACGAAAAGATAAAACTGAAGAATAAGAGAAAGATAGGAATAGGAGAGGGAAGAATTAGTAAAAGCAAATCAATAAGCTAACACTGAACTAAGAATGGCAAGAAAGGAAGACTGGATAAGAGGAAGACATGGAAAGTAATGCAAAAATGAATATAGAGGGAAAAGCGCAGCAAGAAATTAAGACAGAAAGAAGAGAAAATAAAGAAACAGCTGCAAGAGTAGTGTAATGTGGATATTAAAGACTGAAGGAAGACGCAATCCAAGATGACTAAAAGAAGATACAAGGACAAGGAGAAAGTTAAAATAAGAATATGTGACAAATGGCAGGCGTTTTCACAATAAGCAGTCATTTTTGCCCCCCAATAGGAGTTCTTCTAGTGGAGACAGCGTGTTTTCTGTGATGTAGGAACTGAATTTGTATGTATCGTTCAGATTAACTTAATAAAAAGTATATACATATATATAAAAAAATCCGATTTTATGCTCTACCTATATCAGGAAGACAAGCGGGCACTGCCTGGGAACCTTCAATATCGGAGATATAGTTTCTTACATCCCCCCCCCCCAAATGNCCCCCCCCCCCAAATGTAGTGTCTCTCACTACCACCCCCCACTTCTTTTTCTTCACACAGTGTGTTTAAGCCCTCCCAGTGTTCGATCACAATCTCACTATATGCAGCCCTTCCAGCGTGATATGAAAATGAATTCCTACAATACGCAGTGAAACCAAGGCTCAGCTTCTTTCCTTCAGGCTTCACAAGCTTTACCCTCTTTCAAACGTACCTCTACCAGACGGAAGAGCGGGCACTGCCTGGGAACCTTCAAAACCGGAGATAGAAAAAACTCCCCTCCCCAAGCATAATTATATGTTATTACCTCCCACCACTTTCTCCTCTCTCTCTCTCTGCTTTAAATTGCTGTGAACATAAGTGAGTGTCACTGATATTGGATTTGTTTGAAATCGATTCCTGTTTCCTGAAGACGATTTCCTGTGTATGTTTTATTTCTTGCAGTGTTTGTTTCATCATTTCTGTGTTTATTTACATATTTGTTTTCGTGTTATATTTTCCCTGCATTATTTTATTTATTTCTGTGTTTTTTATTCATTCATTCATTCATTCTTGTGTTTGCTGTATTTTTCTTGTATTGATTTATTTCTTCGTGTATTTATGTATGTGCATTCCTGTGTTTTTCCTGTATTGTCTGGTTCTCTGTTAGTTTCGGGATGCTTGTACATCTTCATCAGTTTCATGTAATCCTTCCTATCTTTCCTTCGTTTGTTTATTTTTCCTTCCTTCCATTTTTCTTTTTCGTTATTTACTTCATTCCTACATTTCTGTTTCCGTCTATGTCTTTCTTTCACCAATCTCCCTCCCTC